CTCTCCGGCGGCAGAGCCGAGCGACGCCAGCGCGCTGCTGGCTGCAGGACAGCGGGCTCCTCCGCTGCCAGGAGGGAAAGGACTCCTTCGAAAAGGCCAGGGGTGGGCTGTTCTCAGCACAAGGTAAGCAAGCACGCGATGCAAAGGCTACCTGCCAGAGGACCGGTCGGGTGTTAATAACGAGCCACACAGGAACCAAGCAGGGAGACACAGCCGTAGCCAGGTAGCAAGAGGAGAGAGGAGAGGGGTGGGCACTCTGCCCCGGTATGGTTCGTACTTACTCTGGAAGATCACGACGACGCTGGAGATGAGAGCGGGCTAAGTCCCCCGGTTACGAGAAAGGTAAATACTCCAAGCCTATCTGAGTACAAATCTATCTGGAAAGGTCACTCCATAAAGGAAAATCGGAATAAACACCCTGTGCAATTGAACCGTGACCTAGAAATCAGTAAAGGAAAGGAGCAGCAACGACAACAGCCCGTCACTGGGAAAAAAAAAGTATATTAAAGAAAATCAATGCTATAATCCAGCAGTATCTGAGCACCGCACTGCTCGTGGTGGCATCATTCAGAGCGAGGAGACACTAATAACAGCCCTCTGCCATCACCAGTGTAACGCCGTGGTGCTCGGGGAGCCTTGGCAAACGCTCACCAGTCCCGCGTGGAGCAGCGCGAGCGCCGCGGTTGCGAAGGTGCCGGGCGCGCTGCCGCCGAGGCAGACAGACTTCTCGCTCTGGGACTGGCTGGAAGGTCTTTGGTGTGCGGCTGCAGCGGGGGAGGAGGTGCACAGATCGTCTTATCCGAAACTTTCGGCTTTGAGGAGCCGGGAGGAAGCATGGAGCCGAAGCCCAGCTCCCAGGCTCGGCTGCTCCGAGGGCGGTGGGGTCGGAGAGGGTGCTCGGAGCGGGGTGCTGGCTCGCAGGGGGTTTTGCCTTCGGCAGCTTCGTCTCCTGAAGGTCGCGGCCGCTTTCGTAGGCACTGCAAAGCACGGAGCCGGCCCCCAAACCGCATCGATCACGCAGTTTCCAAGTCGCCCTTCAGCTGGAGAAATGCCCCAGCAGCGTGGCTCCAAACCACCACAAACCCCCCCAGGAATCAAAGCCGTGAAAGCTGTCGGCTGAGCCCCACAGCGCCGGGACTCGGCTCTGCGCGGTATCTGTGGGTGCATTATCTCCAAGCGCTCAGTCCCCTCTTTGTGGGCCATCACACGCTTCAGGCGTCACACGGACGCGTATCTGCTGATCAACAGACGCCCTGCTCTCGCGGAGATCCCTTCAGCTCCCCACGGATGCCACGTGCAGGACCCAGACCAGGGGTTCTCCAGCTGCTGCTCCCTCTCTGGAGCGGAGCAGGAGGTTCCTCGGGTCGCCGGTGGCAGGAGGGGTTCCAGCCGGGGCGGAGGTTGGAGCCTGTCACAGC